GTCGATGTGTGCTCTGCCCCGAGTGCCTTCTCATATCCTTGCAGCGCTCGCTCGCACATCTTCTCTGCCTCGCCCAGCTTGCCCTGGTCCGCGTACAGCATTCCCAGCCTGTGAATTGCACCCAGCACTACATAATCCTCATAAATGTCCGCTCTGTTTGCGTCAGTCCCTCCTAATCTAGCTGGGCGCCTGCTGCTCACCTTACGACCCATTGAAAGCACCGCTGCGCATGGCCTAAGAGCCGACGTTGCACCATCGCGTGCTGCTTCTCTGACCTGTGCGGCACTGCCCACCCGACTACCACCACTGCTAGTTGCGTAAACACCACCCGCTGCTCCTTGTCCTGCATATGGAACGCCCATCGGTGCACCACCGGGTGAGTTGTGTAGCTCGCTAGATCTTGCACGTCCTCTACCAGAGAGTAGCTGCGCAATAGTTGAACCGCCCCAAGAAACTCAACCTCATTGCTTGCTACGTTAGGGAGCCACTCCGATAAATAATCAGCCACGTGTGCGGATTGCTTGCTTGCTTCGCCAAGGAGACCGTACCATACGTCTTTGTTGTCCAGACTCGCCCAAAGCAGGAGCAGGTTAGCCGCCGCTATGCTCTTAGCCCGGATCGCATGGTACGAAATTGTCCATGTTGTCCAAACGCTACGGTCGGGGTAATCGTGAAGCGGCATGCCGGTTTGGTCTTGCGATTCCATAAGGCCTTTCCATTGCTGCTCGTAGAGCTCGATGTATTTCCTGACACCGACTCCGCTCTGCCGCAGATAGGAGGCAGCTTGTGCAATGGCCAACGGTAAGCCGTGAAGGAGCTTCAACAGCGCCTCGCTGTTGACTGTGTCTGTGGCCGAACGGTCAGCACGGGAGTCGTGCACATGCAATACAAATCATATTACAGCTCGGTTGCCTTACCACAAGTGCCTCCATACCGTTGCCGGAACACAGCCTGCGCCTGGTCCTTGCTAAGCTTACCCAGCTTCCGCGACCCACCGAGCTGCTCCAAGTTGGCGAGCCGAGTTGTAACTAGCACTGATCCGTGGTCTGCTCCGGAGAGATACCGGGTGACATTGTATGCGTCGGGGTCGGCATCGCGCCTTTCGCTGTCTCGGTCAACGTTATCAAAGACCATCAGCCAGTCGGTATTGTCCGGCAGGCTCAGCCAGCCCTCTACATCCCTAACCACGGCATCAATATCGCCATCACCCGTAGCCGAGCACGCCCTGCTGCTCTCTGCAATCTGCCCTTCTGGAATCCTACTTGCACAAGTCGCAATGCTCTGTTTGAGGCTGTCTTCCGTTCTGCCATCGAGCCAGAACACCGAGCTGAACTTCCGATGGTGCCTCCTTGCGAATTCGACAGCAAGCTGCGTCTTGCCCATTCCGCTAAGACCATGCAACACAAATACTTTCTTGCGGCGGCACTGTCTCTGCGGGAGAAGGGCTTGCTCGAGTTCGGCTATATCTAATGGCCGGTCTACAAACTTGTTCACTACAGGCACGCCTTGCAGACTAAACGGTGTTCGGTAGCTTCCTGCATCTTCAAACACTTCTAGTTAGCTATAGACTGCACTGCAAACTACGTGTCGATAGGCCAAATAAAACACTAACATTGTCTTCCGGACATGTTGTCCGCACAAGCTTTCATCTGCTTAAACACCACCTGCGACTCCACGTATCGATCTGTAGCCGCGATAATCGCATTCTTCCGCTTTGAGTCTTCCAATCCAATGTCCTCCAGTCCTCTCAACACGTTGAACCGATAGTACCTTCCCGTGTCGTCGAGCCCTGACTTGTCGCGGGAGAATCGCTCTGCTGTCTTTTCTGTCTCCGTGGCAATCGCCAGAAGACTCTGGCCAATACCGACTAGATCATCCTTAAACGGCGTAAGTGACGGAACCCCCGTCCCAATCGACACCAAACACTTAATCTTGTCTTCAAGCGAGCCAGATGGCCATATGTCTTGAGCCTCGTTCCACACCTCATACACCGGGTTGTTCGCCCCTGTAGCCCCGTCGACAAAGCCCTCCTTGAAGTCGCCGATTGTGATGGGATCAAAAAAGGACGAGGCTGCTGACGTTGCTCGGCCTGCTTCCCATATCTTGGCCGTGCGGAGCAGTCGTTCACGCCCGCGTGGCGAGCGGTAGCTGGTGAGCCGCACCGTGTCGCCCGTCTCCTCGCTTGTTGCACAAACGAACCTACAGCCTACTCATTAACGGCACTATAATCTCCCACAAAACTGGACTTTTACCTACACTTTGCACTTTGCGTCCACTTCGTCCTTCAAGAGCGCGTCCTCTGTCAGGCCTTTCCTCGCAACAATCTCCTTGATTGCGCGCTCTAGCTCAGTCGAGTCGAATCGTCCCTGGATGTTGCCTTTGATTGTCACCCGGTGTCTCCGCTTCTGAAACACGCGGTCGGATAGCGAGACATATGCGTCTATGCACTCGTCGACCGTCATCTGAAGCCGGCCAAGCATGATGGCGAGAAGACTGTAGTAGTTAGCCAGATGCCCGGTATGTCTGCCTGGACTGCAACGAACCCGCCAGTGCTGGTGCCGCCGATCATGTCGAAATAGTCGCACGGCTTTGGCGGCGATTCTGGATCAACGACTGCCATAAGCTGCTTCAAGATCTGAAGTGTTGAAAGGCCTCGAACGCCGCCTCCATCGAGGGCCAGGAGGCGGAGCTCGTGTTCTGGCATGGCGGCAGAATAGGTTGGATAGTAGGGTTAGCAAAACTGTAAAGGTTGGCGATGGAAAGGATAGCAGCAAAGTAATGGCTCCATGGAGCTGGCTTTGTCTTGCAGAAGCGCCGGTCCATCTTCAGGTCGACGAGGCTGAGAAGCCAGGCGGAGCTGGCCGCTGGTCATTGGCCTTTAGAAGGCAGAAAGCTGTAAGCGGTTGCGTTACGCGCTCGAAGTGCGGAGCTATGTTTTGCCAACGTCCGCATTCGAGCTGTTTTGCTGGGATAATTAGCGGTGCTTTTAGGCAGCTGCGCCATGAAAGAAGGCTCTCCGCAAATCAGGCGCGAAAGCAACGATGCGAACGTAATTTTTAGGTGGGAGGTGTTCGAAGTGTTCAGGAATGGTTACAGTACACGACCTATATAGAACTGTGGGAGATCTTAATGCGTGCACCGAGCCTAAGTTGTTTGAAGTCAAAGTACCCCTCATATTTTCCGGCACGGTGGGTCTTCCGCGACCCAAGGAGGGACGTTACGCCTTCACCCATCATCGAACGATATCATTAGGCGCGTAGACCTAAGTTCACAGATTTTAAGCACCAGCGATCGTTTGAGAATCTCCACAAGGGGGTGGTCGGCCCCTCCCTATTAGCGTATGCAGGTCGTCACCGAAAAGCTTGCTAAAGTGCATGCGGAGCTAATCCAAATAGGTCGCGCGACTTTCACGAAACCCGTGCTCGACTATTATTCCGCTCCTGTTGACCTAGCTCTCACGAATGTAGCTCCAACTATCCATCTTCATCCCATATCAGTTTTGTTTTGCCTGCTGTTCCAATTCAGCTATTCTCCGCATCATATCTTCCTTCTCTCGCATCATGTCTTCCTTCTCTCGCCCCACCGGCGTCAGCTGATCCTGCAAGGTCGAGTTTTCAGATCGATCGAAATCGTCGACGTAGTACCTTTGTCTTCCTTCGCCTAGGCCTGACGTTTTTTGGAGCTGCATGTCATGCGTGTATACCTCTGCAGTACACTCCTCTAGGTCTATAGCAATTTGCAGAAAACGTGACTGGATGTTACATCTAGTGTGGTATTAGGATAAGACGCTTCGAATAGGGCGGGAAACATTACCGTCGATTTCAATCTCTCGAAGTGCGGGTTTGGAGCAGAAATTGAGAATGACATAATCGTCAAAGATGTTCCATTGCTGATATTTCCCTCCAGTCTGGAATCGGCGTGCATGTTCGGTGATGACTTCTTTTCTTCTGGATTGGAGTACTTCAATGCCCCATTTCTTGTCAAAGATATAGAAGTCAACCCTGCCATCTTTGGTATGCGAGTATTCAGAGAGAATCGGTAAACTTTGCAGCTCGTAGTTGAGACAGCAATATAGTTCGTCTTGAAAGGCTGCTTCTGGGATACTTTGGCAATTGCGCGACCGGAGAACGGATGGACTAAACCTTTCAATAGCATTCAGACAGATCTATTGAAGTGAGGTTCTTTCCAAGTTGGTGCCTGATTCCGGACCTGGACAAAGACGGCGATACGCGACCCTAACTCTAATTAACAAGGTATTCTCATCGTACTAGGTTATGAAGCATACCTTCGGTGTATTGGAGAAGCAAAATGATAGGTAACTTCCTCACTTCCGGGTCGAGGCTGCTCTGAGTGGAAAACCCCCATCTTGTAACAGAATGCAAATGCATCGAAGTCTCGTTGTATTCCCGTGTGACCATTAGGTTTCCTCACAACTTCACGCAGGGCTATTGCAACTTCTGAGAATGTGATGTTACTATAGAAAGGATGTCTCAGACAGTCTTTCACATATGTCTCAGCCGCAGGTATCCAGAGTCCTCTTCCCCATGTCATAAACCACTCTAGCAATCCGTTGTGTTCGACAATAATCTCGTGGCACAATCTCGGCTACCATACTCGAGCACGTCGTATTCTTTCGGGAAGCTGCATAATGTTACTCTTGTTCGTTATAGAATCAGAAATAACTGAAAATTACCTTACGAGATAAGATTTGAAAATGTTGCAGAATCAGTCCCACCTGCCTGGATGGCCGTTGGTAGCGGCGTGAAAGTACTCGGACACACCATCCTCAAGCTGGAACTTATTCACCATAGCCCATTTCTGAACGGTAACGGCTGTTTCCTGTGGCTTGAAGAGCATGTATGGACGACCAAGTGCGGACGGACGTAGCTCCACGCGTTGAAGGCGATCCATACGGAGGGCCTGGGATTCATTATTTGGCTCGCGCATGCGAGAAACGCCAGTAGCCCCATAAAGGCAGACGAGCACAAACATGGACTGCTGTCTAGTATTGGGGTTCTTGAGTGTCTGGGCCCAAAAGTTTTCTTCTTCATATGAATCTTGCGCTTCATCAATGAGGTTGACGGTTGTAGCTTTGGGATTGTAAGGCCGGTACTTCGCATTATCTTCTTGCCATCTTGATTTTTCCTGTTCCAGATATTGCTTATATGGAAGACTGTCGCCCATTTCTCTACGCATTTCTCTACGTCTCCAGAGAATGAATACTGGCTCCAGGTCCTCTTCCTCATAAAGAATGTGACGGCCCAGCAGTCGAAGTAGAGTTGTTTTGCCGACTTGGGGTGTAGCGCGGATGACGACTACTCTTGTGCTTCGTACAAGCTGCACAATGGAATAAACGAGGTCGGGTCTCTGGCATACAAAATCGCATTCAGGGTCCCATAGGTGGTCAAAGTCCTCATGATCGTCCATCGTATGCCCACAGCGGATGCAATTATCGACTGGATAATGAAAGGCTCCTTGTGGGCAAGGGCAGGATGAACAAGGCCAATGCGTAAGGGTAGAATCGGAAAGCTCTGGCGAAGAAAAGTTGGTGGTTGTAAGAGACTGCCTCTTTTGGTCCAAGGCTTGATGTGTAGGAGATCGTTTTCGTGGACTTTGCGAGGAAGGAAGGGATCGTTTTGCCCTGCGAGGCTTTTCAGAAGTGACTGGATTGTGTATGTTGCCGTTCATGGCCGTGGTGAAAGAGGCCTTTGTATTTATCTTAGACAGCGGTTGGCTAGAAGGCTCCACATTCTGTCGCGCAGACGCTGTCCGGGTTTGCGATCGAGTAGTTACGGGCATTTTCTTTATTCAAGAAGCTGCTGGAAAGTTTGAGTGTAGGGAGCGAACGTAAGGTCGGTCTTGTCGCATTAATGTATCGGCGGTGTTTCCTTGTTAGAAGGTTCAGGCGGTGTTTCTTTGCAACACCCACCCTATTGGTTGACTGGTCGTTCTTTAGACAGCCTGGATGAAGATCTCGAAGCCTACCGCATCGTGCATGCAGAGTTTATGGAAGTCTTTGAAACAGAAGAGCGCTCACTTGGAAAAGCTAATATCTCACATACTTCTATAATGCGGAAGAGCTGGGAAGTCGGAAGCTACTGGTATTTATCTGCTTTGGACTGCCCCAAGGGGCTATATAACCTATACTTTTCACATATTCGGCAGCGATTCGCAACGTTTCAAGATTGCGGCCTCGAAATCGAACGAACTGTGTCAGCGTTCTGGAATTCTGATGCGACTGGTTTCATTGCTGCCAAGCTTATAGAGAAGGACCTGTATTCCAATCAACTGCGCAAGAAGTTTGAGGCTGGAGTCAATTAGCTTAGAAATATGTATGATTATAAGCACTCCTTAATTTATCAGGCTCTACTCCCCTCATGCATATTCTATCAAGACCATATTGGTACTAAACAGTCGTCAACCGTCTCATCGTCATGTCGTCGTCTAGGAGCTTGAGCCCGCTTCATTTCCGCTGCTTTCCACAGTCTTCTCCGTTGCCGCTGCCGCAGCCTTCGCCCTCTCCGTTGCTTCCTTTATCGCATTGTTCTCCGTCCTCTTCTTTTGGGCTTCCAGTCCAGAAAATGTGAGTTGTTCCATAGTGTTTTGATCGCATAGGCCCTCGTTAATCGCGTGTCTATCAGAGCTATTCATGGTCGTGCAGAAGCTTGGCTGGCAGAGTCTGTGAAGCAAAGACTTTAATGATAGGCTGTGTAGGACGTTAGGGACGTTTAGTGCGGCAAATTTCTTGATCGTGAACACACTCTAGTTTGTTCCAGGCGAGCTGTCAATACGCGGAATAGTAGTACCAATGTAGATATCGATTAGGAGTCTAGTAGACACAGCGGATTGAAATGGACGTGTTTCGACAGGCCAGGGAACAAGATGGCTCACGAAATATATCGATGGTTCGTACTGTTAGAGACTGCACCTCTGGTTGACACCATGAACTGGTCCGAATACTTATAACCTTCTGAAGCTGATCTGGGATCGTAGGTCATGAGCAAGGCGTAGAGGCCGTGCGGCTTGAAGAGTGACTCGTTCATGCGGTCGGAAGTGGTTGACTTGCGAAGTCTGGTGGAGTCGGCGGCCAGTCTCGATTGAAATGTGAACAACCGCTGCTGAGGCGTGGACGATGATGCTTGGGGCCACGGCGACGGTAGAAGATAGTACACTAGCGGTGACAGCAAGATTGGCGGCGTTGAAGTAGCGGGATCCCTTTATGGAGGTTGTGAAACTGTCAAGGAAGTCGAGGAAAGTGGCCTGATCTATGCCGCAATCTGCGAGAACGGGAGCGTACTATATGAGTGTCAGAAGTGGCTCGAAGCAGCGAGGTAGGAAGACACGAACAGCTCGAATAAACCCATGGCTCTTGGCTTCGGGGTGCTTTTGTGGAATGATGATTGGGCAAGGGAGTCTATTGACGGGCGGCCCTGAGTAAGGCGGCGGTTGAGGATGTTTGCGAAAGAAGTTGTCAACCAGCGCATCCATGCTCTCAGGTGCTGTGGCCTCCTCATGCGTCTGCTGTCCGTCAAGTCGTGCTTGAGTTTCATCTCGGGCCCAATCATCCTTATCTACTTCATAATAGGAACTCCTGGAATCCGAGCCAACGCTACTATTTCGTGACCGTCCGCCTGGGTGCGGTGGCGCAAGGCTAGTAGATGAAGTCGCATCCGGGAGCGTAGCTTTTCCAGGGTTACTCGGCTCATTGTCCTGGCCAGAGCTTCCCTCAGGCAAAGGAGACTTGCTGCGCTTGCAGTGCGCATACGCTTCTGTGCCTAGTCCAATGATGTTGGACACGCCTCTCACAAGTGGTCCCATGGTGTTTAAGTGTCAGGGTTTCAAAATGAAAGATGATAGATGAACGGCAAGGTATGTGATTGAAGGGGTTCAAAGAGTCAACGGGATGCTATGATGATACAACAGCCTGGAGGCAGGATAAATGGCGTCTCTTATACCATTCGCAGTCGTGGTACTCGTCAACTCCGCCACACTCTATATCCTCTCAAATTTAAGATCCAGAACGATCTCGCTCACCATTCTCTTTGCGGACAAAAGTGCGAATGTATTGCGGTAAGACGCGTTGCCAAAATTGGCTAGAGCGAAGGCTATGAAGTTCGGCGGACGCGGATCGGTGGTTGATTGTTCGTCGCCACCCCAGAGCTAGAACATGCCCACCTATTAAGCTTGATGATAAGAAGCGTCAGATAGGACATAAAGGTGTTGCCTATGACGAAGAGGCTTGTATAGGGCCAATGCCGTACCAAACATCCTGGTCACGTGACCATCACTGACTTTCTCCTCGCGATTCCTATCGCTGCCTTCTCAGACTTTAAATGGCCTGAAGCCACTATAACTTAAGTCCAGCTCTAGTCTCAATCTCGTCGGCCCTTAGATGTCACGATCTTAAAGAGCGCCATGGTGTTCGTAGTTGAGGAGTGACTTGGACTTGTATTCATATTGTTTAGTGGCCTGTAAAATTCTGCCATTTCGGTTGGAATTCGGAGTGGGTAGAACGATGTTGAGGCCGGAGAGTTGTGATATCACGTGGTTATATGCGAATTCGATCGCGGTTGGCCCTCCGGTCTGCACGAGACAAGGCGAATGATGCTATTGTGGGTCTTGGGTGTCTTCGAATCGATAGAAGACCTCATTTCCACTCTTTCTATCCGTCCATCGGAGGTCCATATCTTGTTCGCGACAGTTGTCCCGTGTACGACTAAGTCGTATATGACTTGACCCTCAGACTGTTCGACCCCACCTAGCGCCCGAAACGCCGTCTTCACCGCGATATATCCGACTAGCAGAGATGAGCTGCCCAATTGCGAGCTATGAGCAAGTTGGTACTTGAGACCGCGGCAAATTTCGAGCGAGGCATCCCGAATTGTGGAGTGGTATACACCGTCGGGATTGGCGGGAAGATTCACAGGCTGATCACCAAAATCCGAATCGTTCATAGGGCTTTCCGGTTTAGGGTATCGTTCTGCTCGGGCAGTATCAATGTTCGGGGTTCCAGATTTAAGCGGAGGTAAGGAATCTAGGATCTCCAGAATGTATATGAGCGTTACGTTGTAGAGGATTAACATTGTGGCCGTTCCCGGATTCGAGCATTCGATTGGTAGCACCTGAAGCTCATGTTTAGTACTCTCATCATCCTCAAGCCTGTAAGCTGTTGTCGGGACAGAATGGGAGGCGTGCGTGTTCTCGATAAGCCATTCTTGGCCCCAAGCACTTAATCTGTCTCTCAATGCTTCCGCCTTTCGCAACAACCTCTCATATTCTTCATAGAGCTTTCTGTCGTTCCGATATTGGCGTTTTGACGCAAAAGCGTCTCGCTCACTGCGTAAAACCATCCAATCAGCCAGAAAGTCCAGCTGCTCCTCTTGCTTATGCTCCTCAAAGCTATAGCTGTCTCTTGGTTCTCGTCTCCACTCATTAAGCGCCATTATCGAGAGTTTTGACATGTTGATACAAGAAAAAATCAGAATACGCCTCAGACTTCTGAATATGCGGGCCGTGTATGATGATGAGAAGAGAGCGAGGGGTCCGCGGAGCTCAAGAAGTCGCTCTAATCCGAGGACATGCTTCAGGTAATTATCGTTGCCCGTTGGGTAAAAGGCCTGTATTTGAGATTAGCTTCATTGTCGAAAGGTGTCTTAGCCGCCGTTAAGTACACCTGTTCTAAGTCCTAAAGTCCCAAGATTCGAAAGAAAGAAAGGGATCCAACCTCATACATGATCATTGTCACCACGGTGAGGAGGACATGATCGCTCATAAAACACTCAGGATCCAAGAGTACATCGTTAAGGCCTTTCAGCGCTGCTCCGTATTTCAAGGATCCAAGATGGGCGAGTCGAGAGTCCCTATGCTGAGAGCCAAAGAATGACATTGAAAGACCCATTACAGCGCTTTCTAGTATTCTGGAGTACTTTGTCTGCTGGGAAGGTATCATCTCTTGAACGAGCTCCGAAGCGAGTTCAATTGGGCCGCCTCGTAGGATCTGATCTCTCGTGTAAAGGATGCAGAAGTCATCTTGGACGGCAGAGTAGCTAAGTGTCCGCGAAATAGGAATGCCAAGTTCAGGTGCTTGAAAATTATTGTTTGCCGTTTTCCTTGATGGCAGCACCAAGTCTTTGCCTCTCCCATCGAATTGGAATCGAATATTGGTATCGATGAACGCAGTCTCCTTCACGCCGGTACATGAAATTCCAATTCTTTCACATCGAACACAAATGGGCCGTCTTTCATCTGTCCACGAGAGCTATCGTCAGTTGTTTTCAGCTGATTGGGAGGATTTGGGATAGTTTACCGCACTTCACGCGCCGTCTGCGGCAATTAGAGCAACCTTTAGACCTCCCACCGACATTTACCATGCCTACCACGGAATTGAAGGAAGCTCGGAGGACAGGAAGACATCTTAGCTTCGGCGCGAGGGAAGAATAAATAACGGCCCTAAGGCTCTCCGAAGAGTCCGAAGAAAGTTCACGAACCGGACGCGTTGCGGGGTGGAGGGGCCAAATGTAACTTAGGGGGCCAAAGGGGCCGATAGACCTCTTCCGCGCTATCCGTTGCCACTAGGCTAAGTCTAGTTCATTGCGCGAGTATCCCTGTATATGCAAATCTCCATCTCCATTTCTATTCGATACATCTGAAAAAGTGCAGAGTTATAGGCTAGTCTAGCACTATTAATATTTCTCAATTGGCTATCATTATCCTACCATTTGGATCAGCTAAATTCTGCTATCTGGAATTGACCCTGTTCGCTCTTAACTAAATCTCCCGCCGAAACACGGTGGTGTTAACATCCTCAGTGCCTCCTGAAATAGTCAGATATGCCAGCTACAGAAAACTGCTTACGCTTCTTATAATCTCAAGAGGAGTGTACTAGGAATAGTTATGTGAGAAAGGGTCACTTTGACTCTAAGTAATCTAGCTAACATGCCTAAATAAGATGAAACCACACGTGACTACCCAACCAAAACCTTCAAACCTTACTCCTAAATGCCAGTACTCTCAATACACTGCCTAGATTGTTGAAATCCGCCCTCCTCCAGTCCCATCATTTTACCATTCCCTCCAACAACTCGCCTGGCTACTTACTACAACTGTTTGTGCTACCCTCGGCCTTTCAATCAGTCCAAAGCTAAAGATAGAACATCAGCCCATCCAGCTGCTCCTTCCAAGGGTTCTTCCTCTTTCCATCACATCCCCATAGCCACTTAGCTCGGCGAACATACTCTAGCACCTTGTCGGCCTTCTCATTGTCGTTGTCACCAGCAAGCAGTGGCACGAAATCCGGGTGTCGCGAGTAGTCGTTTACCGAGAGTGTTCGGATGTACTCAAAGCCGCGGGCGGTAAGTTTGGTGGCGTAATGTACTGGGAGGGCGTAGGCGACTTGGCGGGCGAGTTGGGAGGAAATGTTGAGCGTTTCAGTCTGGAAAATAGTTAGTGATACTATTCACATCGAGATGCTGCCGGAAGTGGGGGTTATAGACTCACGAGAACTTCCATGTTGGCCTTGCCCAGCTTCATCTCATCTTTGAGAACGGTGTAGACATAGTTTTTGCGGGAAATTATTTTGTCGTCGGTCGATGCTACTGGCCTGGTGTATTCGAACGGTACGAGCCCTAAAGGTGAAGATTCGAGATGAGTGAGTATTTTGAGCTTCTTGGTAAAGACCACATAGGTGATCGCGGGACTTGGAAGATTGAGTGACTTGAATGCATCCTTGATAGCCTTGCATTCCTGGTCTACAACCTGGTTCATGACGTCGCCCATCTCTCGGGTCAGTCCGTCTCTGAAGAAAAGAATGCTCTTCAGAGACTTCTTGCCAGTTCTCTTAGACCAAGCTTCAACCCTTTCTATCATCATCTCCTTGAGTTCATCGATTCGCACTCTAGTAGTGTAGATTAATTTCTGGGGTTCACTGAGAATTTCCAGGTCCCCCTTCATTTCATTCTTCTTCGGCGAGGTTGATCCGCTTTTCTCCTTCATTTTAACGTCGAAAGTTCTCTGCAATCGCATAGATCCAGGAAAGTGTACGTGTTGGTCGTTAGCACTGGCGACCACTGCGGCGATCGAGGGGCGTGCTATCTTCGGCTGTCCATCTACTGTTTGTAGCGTTTCGGCGGGTCCAGCTCCAGGGTGGGCAACATGCGCACCAACGACCATGACACCTCCGTCCACTTTCATCTCTTTGAACTTCGCAGCAATGTTTGTTTGGTAATTTGTACCACCAAGCATAAACTTCACCTTTCGGGCAATGTTGGCGGGGAAATATGTCTGATCTTTCCATTCCGGCATAGCTTCCAAAGCTGCCTTCGATGCGTGTACGGTTGGCACGCCTGCTACTAGGTCTCCAATGCGGTGAAAGTCGGCAGTTGCGTTGGCAACTTCTTTCGCATCCTTGCCTACGGGGTCCATGAGGCAGAGTAGGGCGCCTTGGGTCTTTGGATCGAATTGCTTGGCAAACTTTTCAGGGTTAGAGAAAAGCTCGGTAGTATCGCTCACTCGACCATGCCAATACTTTGCGGTAGTCTTGTCGGAACCCAACACCAATTTTGATAGCGCCGGGATGGCATGTCGGAACCGGTCTTGGAAGACCTCTAATTCGGGATCTTGTGGAGAAGCCAAATTCAACAGTCCAAATCGTTCTAAGCGTCCTTTGCTATGGTTTTCCAGGCGAGGCTTAGTCTCAATTTTGGGTGGTGACCCGAGCTCAGGTAGTTGGTTTCCTGGTGGTGGCTTGAACGTCTTGTTAGACCATCGAATTTTCTACGCTATTGTAAGCTCGAGACACGACTTAGCGAGGTCAAATACTCACGTGCTTGTTATTGACTGTATCTTTGGTGGCACCATCGAGCCAAGGACCACTGAGCCAAGTGTTGGCTATCATTGATAGAGAGCGATCTCCGCCATCGTTGAGACCGACTGGCTTTTCGCGCTGAATGGACGTTCTGAAGGATTTGAAGTCCGATTGGAGGATACAGATCTTCGCAGGAACTTTTTGATTGGGCTCAATCCAAAGAAACTCTAATGGAACCCAGGCTGCTCGACCCTGTTTGGTTCCGCCAATGTTGGCGAGGGGTAAATTGGGAAATTTCAGCCCGTTCCCCTCCCCTGGTCGGATGTCTGGGTGGTTTTAGCATGGAGTACGAGTATCCCATCGTATATCTACTTACAGTTTTCAAAATACCGAGTTACCGTCATCTTGCTCCCGGTACTCGTGCCCTTTGACGCTGCCCCTGGGAGGACGAACGCGTAGATATCCGCGGGCATTTTTACAGCTTTGATTCGAGACCGGCGGGCGTCAACGTGGAAGTTCCCATCAATGACTTCAGAGTCTTTCAAAACGCGGCTCTGAACAATGTTCGATGCGTAGCGCCCATGTGGCCCCCGGTCTCCCAGCGAAAGTGGAACATATGAGCGGCGAACGGGCAGACCGACGAGTAGGCTTTCCAGTCCTCGGAGCGTTGGCGGATTCTGGCAAAGGCCCTTGCACATGATTGTCTCCCCAAAGTAGCTAAACAGCATGTCGGTGACCGGGCAACTGTGGTAATAGGCTCCGACGCAAAAGTCAAGGCGCAACTGTGTTTTATCGTCAACCGTATGGAGAGATGGAACGTATTCGACCCTAGGATGAACCTTCAATGCCGCTATACTGCGCTTCTCGAAGCCCGGAGGTTGCTTCGGGTATGAGAACTGGCCTCTCGACGAATGAATGTCAGTTGACGTAGATTTCGGAGAATTCCTCAATAGAACCTCCAGTCTTTTGAGATATCTTTCCCCATCTTCCCAACTGTAAGACTGAACCTTTTCAACGGTACACTTAGCGTCGTCAACAGTACCATCTTTATCCTTGATGATGCCCTTGACTGGGATCGAAGTCTTGGGCCCTTTGAACTTAGGTTTTTCATCCGTCATGATGAGCTCGCCACAAATCGTTGCTTTGCCCTTCGCAGTTTTGAGATCTACGGTTCCTAGCATTTCGGTCTTGAAATTCATCGCACCGTCGCTCTTGAAATGCTTGAACGCTTCTTCCTTGAACAACTCCTCAAAGACTCTGCGATGTAGTTTGCGGTTGTGTTCATGTTCCTCAGGAATTTCGATCAGAATAGTGACAACTTGAAGCGAAGGACCACTATCGATGTTACACGTGACTGCACCCAGAAAATCTCGCTCATGGGATATAGATGGTGATGTTCGTGGCATTAGAAATTTGTCATCCGTTGTACTTGACGAGGATGAATTTGTCGATTCAGATTTGGGGGAGAGCTCTGGCTTTGACAATCCATTTCCAAGTTTCGAGCTAGGAGACGATGGCTTTGGTGATCGCTTCCGCGGGTCTGTCGAGGAGGGCAAAGGTTTGCCTTTTAGTGGTGGTGTTGAGGGGGTCCGGGTATTGGGAGAGGCGGGATTCTTTGAAGCGGTCGGCGAGCTCCTATTAGAAGTCTTCTGTGGGGTTACCGGTGCCATTGTGTGTCTAAGACAGGATGCTGAGGCAATTACTTGGTCTTAAGTCTAAACGCTGAGAATGAATCGATACCATCTTGTACCCAGCGCTTTTATAGCCATTTGACGCACCGCCTTTTGCCTTTTCCGCTACTTGTCATTAGAGACAGAAAGTATCAGGCGGCATGAAGCAATTATCGAGATGATGGTTGGTAACATATGATCTGATCATCTTCATGACATTCGATTGCTAGGCGTTTGAGCGTCGAGGTTTGCGGACCATCAATCAAGGGCATGGCGCGCGGAGAAATGGAGCATCTAGAGTTTTCACAACCAAGGCATTTCGAGTTTGGAGCATCGAGTAGAGACATCCCCAATGCGAGTTTCTGGAATTATGCGGTCGCATGCCGATGTAGAAGAACAGATGGGGATGATTCATGACCTCAAGACAAGTCAGTGGTCCTTCGCGAACCTCAGTCAGTAGTTTGTGATATAAGGGGTGTTGCTCCAGATGGCACTGTTTGTCTTGATGCGTCCCGAGTGTTGAAGGGTGAAGAATGAGAGCTGGATGAAAGAAGCTGCTAGAGGACGTGCGGTCATCACGTGACTGGCATGAGTGCTGCTAAATCAGTGAAGCCCGAGCGCAAAACAACACCCGATAATCGGAAATTAGGAGTCGATAAATCGATATTGCTTTGTTCTTCGCGATATGGCCCGAGGCGCAACGACTCCGCAACAGCCTCACGGCTCAATGAGGCTGGCTGTTCCTGCGTCGACAAGCGCAGTTCTCGAAGGCGGCTTTTCGCCCGAACACATCCGCTATCGTGCAGCATGTGCACGACGTCACACCACTGCGATGGAGTATGGTCGTCGCGATAGAGATCTGGGGAACCTTCTCGGCTCTCCGCTCTGGTTGTCACGAGCGGCACGAGGCTCGACATCGTCAAGCGGCAGCGGCCAATGGATAGATGCACGTTGGGCAATGAGGCCTGCACATTGCTCCTCCAGGACGGCCAGCCGTGGAACTCTCACGATGCGCCACGTTCACGAGCGACTGGCTCCGTCGGGCCGCAGTCACAACCGTTTCTGCATGCTCCCGTTATCAGTCGCCTGCGTGCTGCCCTACTGATCCCGAGCCATCGAGCGCCGGCGATCTGTCCGATTCTTAAGAAGTCCGCCGCAGCCTTGCACTAGTAGTGACCTCATCTTCCTTTCGTCCCTATACTTGTCTGTCAAGATGCCGCCGTCGGGACTTCGAACTTGCCATTCCTCTTAGACCTGCTGTTTGTTCAGTTTTCAAACTCTTTACGGTCGACTCCCCTCCGATCTATCTTTGTCTCTTCACGCATCTCATGTATGAACAATGTTGAATAAATCAATGCGCTGCCACTTTGTATCCTGCACTATTACCATCTCCCTTCTTTATACATAGCTTCTTCTTTGTCCCCAGTTCTGTATACATCTGCTTTTGCTTCTAATATTTCTATCAGACACTTGTTCTATTTTGCGGCGTACCTTTCTCGATAATATATTATTTTTCCAACCTTCTGCTGTACCTTTCATCTTCTATCCATGGTTCCATCGACCCTTTACCACGCCTCACAACCTACTCAACTACGGATCCTCCAGCCCTTGGCATGTATTATTACACACATTGATTTTACGACCTACAAAACCCAGCCCTTCTCAACGCTCTTCAGACATCACAAAATCCAACCAACATCGAGACAAAAAGTAACCTCTACCCCAATATCCTCCCAACCATGGGCCCTCCAAACCAAGATATAATCAACTACAGTGCTGCCAGTACTCCACCACTGACTCCTTTGTCTCGACCCCATAAGGACTCGATACCTACCGAGACGGACGACACCTTCAGCTTGACTGATCGCAGGACGACAGAGCTGTTGGAGTTCCCCTTCCGGACTACAGACTATACGCTTGATAAAAAGAATCTGCTCGGTAGCGGGCTATGGAGCGACGTGTTCCTTGCATTACCGATTATACCAAAGCTTTCAACAGCACACTCCGATATCGAAATAGACGTGCTAGGAACACTCTCACCTCCCTTGACCCCCGTCAAGGCTCGAAATACCTCAAATTCCATTCCTTCTATACCTCAGGCCTACGCAATCAAATTACCGGCAATGACTTCCGCGAAAGCCGTCATAGCTTCCGAAGCACGCATCCTTTCACACCTCTCCTCCTTCTCCTCGTACAGCGACCACATCGTCCCCTTCTTCGGCCTCGACACTCGTAACGGCGCCCTCATCATGAGCGCTATGCCCAACAACCTCAACGCTTTCGTCAAAAACCTCAACACCTTAGATGCCACATCCCGCACTGCCCGTATCGTACAAGAGTTTCCAAAACTAGCACTCAATCTAGTTCGCGGACTAGAATGGCTCAATACCCACAACGTCATCCACGCCGACATCAAACCAGACAACATCCTTCTTACCAAGAGTGGAATGCCTGTATTCGCCGACTTCTCGTCTTCCATCCTGACAATCACCTCCGACGAGCTCGGCGCATCATCAACGGCTCCTGTGGGTGGTGGAACGTGGGACTACCTATGTCCGTCAATACTGACCCGTGATTCGAGCACGGCACGGTATCCGACCCCTTCTACCTCGACGGATTTATATAGTCTCGCTATCACGCTCCTCTTCGTCGTGATAGGGCACTCGCCTCTTGATTCTGCTGGGTCCAACACATTCAGGAGGCGGGATATGGTCAAACAAGGTACACCGCTCGCTTTCGCATTTGGAGGCGATAAGGGGAATGTGGCTGAGCAGCGATGTAAAGACCTATCGACAACTTTAGGTTGGGATGTCGTAGCATGGTTGCAAGGAGGGCTGCGGAAAAGTGAGAGTAGAGTAGGGGTTCGGGAGTGGAGGGAGAGTTTGGAGAGGCGGATGTGATAGTTGTGTATTATACCTTGTGATTTTGACGATTGAGCGATCGAATTTTGTATAGTTCTTAGATTTTGTTTCATATATATGTCTATGACGTTTCGGATTGGGAAATCGTTCGCATTCGCGACGAGAATATGTCTTGTATTATTCGTAATTTATCCTTCATTCAATATGGTTCGCACGTGACTTGTAGTTGTATATCCACCATACTCATAAGTTTTCCCGTGAGCCTGCGCGCTATAGATGAGTACGCTTCGTGAGGCATTGCAAGTTAGAAACAATGTCGTTGATTGATAAAGCCAAAATGAGGCCTTGAATAGAGATAGCAAAGCACTCATTAAACATACCGATTATTATCTAACCTGCCGAAGGTACCGACTGAACCTCATCAGTACCATCCGAGTCGCTTTCTACTCCGTTCCATTACTAGTATACATAATCAACACTAATAGACCGCAGCATTTCAAGGTCATCGCTTAGGCGTCCTCAACATGCGCCTCTCCAAACATCGCTGCCAGCTCACGTCCCGTAAGATCATCCTCGGAGAATTCTGGATGAATTCCGACACCGTGCAACCACTTCCACGAGGCGGGCTGTCAATCGCCCTTCTGCAGTAACCACGTTGCCTCTTCCCAGGCTGGCAAATCATTCCACGGGATATCTTCGTCGCCGAAATCCACTTGGGTGAAGTAGTAGTCATCGTTGTATCTAGCTTCCTGACCAGGCGCGTAATCGGTAAGCGTTTCCACTACCTTCCGAGCCTCGTTCAGACAGGTCAGAAGCATCTTATGAACCATCTCCGCGGCAGTCAGGACTGACCCGATCGTGTTGGCGGCGTTTTCAGGGCTTCGGGCTTCAGGCTTCGGGCCTCTGTCTCTTCCTTTTTAACAATCGTAGACTTTTCTCAAGTCAACAAGCAATTCCTTCAAGCTTCCTCTTCTATATCTCAACACCAGGTTCCACCACAAGCAAGTTTTATTGCAAGCACCTAGACATTATCTGACAGAAGCAAACACGCATCTTCCTTTTCATGGTCTTCTGCAAGTAGCAGAACGATAGTGTTCTTGGCCGTACGTAGTAGAACCTGCGCTCCTGTTCACTCACCATTCAGGTAGTCACCTCCAAAGTTGAATGGTAAGCAAAAGTTTGAGACGATAGTCATAACCCCAAACTCCTTTGCTTGTTGAGCGTGCGGCACAGTCGTCAGCGTCGAGCTCCGTACACGGTCCCCCCACACTCATCCGCCCCAAGAGTGGAGAAAAAGCTACGCTCTAGTCTAGCTATCCCCATGTACGAAGCGCGCGCAACGAGATCCTCCCAGGTTTCAAGGCCATTCAGGATTTGTGAATCTATTGATGTCAACGTCAAGCACATCGGCTGCGGCGCAGCTATCGGCTGCGACGAAGCTTACAGCCTAGCTAGCGAGTCACTTGTTTCAAGACAGGGGTTTGCCCGTATCGAAGCCGAGTAACTAGCTTTTAGATTATGCTTTCTGTAGATGAACGATCGATTTTCGTGCTTAAAAGTCTTCGGTCCAAAAGAAAACACTATCGATACATATGCCCTGGAATCGGTGGTGCGACATCGTAAGCAGTAGTGATGCTGCAGTGCCCAATCTCTTTGCGGTCATTCCAACTAACGACACCCCACTGAACGGGTAGTATATGAGCCTCTTTATCTTCCGGTGGCTGATGACACTGTGCACTATAGCCGCACTACAGGTCCGCACCAACGGCGCAGACTGTGCGCCCCGTGGCAGTTTCCGGAATCCAAGGAGGAGGACGATGAGAACGATGATGCAGCCTGACACCAAACTAAAGATGATACCCATAACTAACCACCCTACGCGAGAAGCGTCGTACTGATAGTTCCGTGAGCCATCAGCATTCCATCCTGCTGTCTGCACCACGAGAACGCTCTGGGATATAAGCCAATGTAACAGAATCGACGAACCAGAAAGTGGAATAGCGTAGCGGAGTGGCAGTGACAGGAAGTAAGACGAACGTTGGATGCCAACGGGGAAAGACACTTGGAGCAGTCGTTTATGGCTCGCCATGTTTGCCCACTCGCAGGCTACCAAGACGCTCGTGAGGAGGCCATTGATGAACAGATAGAGGAAAGAGCAAAAGATCTGGAACATGTTGGAAAAGAGAATGCAGACTAAGAAGCCGGTCGTTTGATTGAATATCTTAAAGCCTCCCCCAATAAGCGAGTATGCTCGCACCTGTCCAACACCTTGTTTCCATAGGTTTGGGATATCTGTAGGAAGGCCTTGCGTTTTGCGGGCTTTGATAGTTTGGGATAGGAGAACTCCAACGACTATTAGACTTATTTTGCACCTACGGAAGGTAAGTTTGAGCAGTAAAGCTTCGGAGGGACGACCTACAGAGCCATGGTGACTATCCACGTACGTTTACTGGCTGCCTGAAACCACCATAATCGGTTTTGAGGGTCCCACGGAAATCGTGCGTATTGCCACTTTTGATTGTTGAAATCCGCAAGGGTTGAACCGCACATGTTCTCTGTATTGAAATCGCTGTGTTCTAGGAAGGAGTGAATGGCATCGCCTAAGATCACTAGGGTGGTATCTTTAACGCAAAGGGCCGTGTAGTAGATCAGCGCACATTTCAGCGCATTTAGTATGCAGACCAAGATCATGATAGGCGGACTGTAATGTAGAGAACATCGCGTGCTATTGGAGCCGACAGCATCGCTTAGACAGTGGTTAACGGGTATGCTGTAACTTGGCGATGCACTGACGGTCCAGTTTGACAAGTGTGGAAGCATCTTGTCGAAGCTGCATGCTTTCTTATAATTCCCAGGTAAATACATGCCCAGCCGGAAGCAGTGTCCCAATCGGTCCGATGTGAAGGGTTGTGAAATCCCTCAATTAATGACGTTCCGTCGTTTGAGGTAATCGAGTTGTTTACGAAGACAGTGACTATTACAACGTCCCCAACGGCGGCGAGGGGATCGGTATATCACTTGAGGCAAGGCTCTTTACTCAGCTTCTGGAATTTCCGTCCCTGGGTTTGGAGTCGAGATAGAGCTACATCTGATGTATTCCAGGGCGTATTATTATCCAGAAAATCGCTCGTAACATATGCAGTAACGTAAGAGTTGATGGGTACTGATGAAAACACCGCGGAATTCCAACTGAGTTTCGATTAGTCCCCTCTTTTAACGAGCTCAATTACCAGGGCTTTCCGATCACGACTGTTCGGAAAGGAATACGGGATAGATATTGGAGGAGATAGAAAGGTATAGCGTTCTCATGATTTTAATCGAGTTCCTACCTTACGGTGAATCAATCTTCAGATGTACGAAGAAGAAAATGGTAAGGACTTACAAGAGACTGAGGAATCCAGAGTTGATGAATAATAGAAACCAAAAAATTTGTCTTACCCAGGCGATGTGTGGAAGGTTACGGATGCTCGGGCATCCAATGTCAAGTCACTTGTGCTTTTGATGTGCCTCATCCAATTCTTTTCGAGTCGGTGCAACTAGGATTTGCATGCAGAAATTGCTTGAACCAAGTAGCACGGTGGATAAACCGTTGATGATCAAATGGAGCCAGAGATCCAATTGCTTAACCACGCCGCAATTTCCCTGGTAAATCGTACCGATCCCATTTCTGGTCTTGCTTTTGGACATCACCCAGGCAGTTCAGGCGACGTTTATGACAAAAACGATGCCCGATATCGCCTGATGACAGGACAATGCCACTTTCCTGTCCGCAAGTAGCCTTTTCCACAGAGAGTGCGACTTGTCAGGATCGGCAGCAGAGAACCAGCGTTTGACGATCTTTACGCTGGCAAAGCGATCGCTGTATGTATTTTCGTAAGCAGTCGATAACGAACGGAGATAATTACTTCGAAACACTTACTTGATCAAGTTCGCATCTTGTATCGTTGTTATAAGTGAAAGTCCAAGCTCTGAGGTCGGAGAGTCCAGATCATGGCCACCTGGAACCGAAGCAGCTAGTTCTGACTTATGAAGAGCCCCAACGTCTACCATATCGCCAGCAGTAAGACAGAGCCTTGCTGCCTATAGGAGTAGGTGGAACGAGATTGTCATTGGCGGGTCGGCATACTGAAAGTCTCAAAGGACGTGGTGGTCTAGTCTTATAGAAGTGGCGACGGCCTCGTGCCCAGGTGCACCCTACCAGACAGACACCAGGCAGACATTGTGTAAAGAAGATGGGTAGAAACGCTGGAAAACCTGTTCCGACCAGTTCGCGAAACAAGCCGTGGAGATGCAAAAAGGTCTGAACCGATCCGCATCTCCAGCTGGAGGCGCAAGGCAAAGCTGCGAGGCACAGCTGCAGGGCACAGCTGCAAGGCACCAAAGCAGCGTGAGAGGAGGAAATGGAACGCCTCAAATCAGTCCACAGGTGTGTTGACCAGTGACAGCCGATTGCCGCCTTTATGCACAGGCCACTAGTGTTCTTGTACCGCAGCGTAACACGCAAGAATTATGAGGCGCAGTATTTCAGCGCGCATTTCGGAGTTCGGACAAGCTGTTGAAATATATTGACTAACATCATACTGTTAGTTAATGAACGAATTTTAGACACTGGGACAGCCTCGTATTTCTAATGCCGGTAGGACTCAGCGTTGTTCCTTTGCTGGTAAACCTGGCTCCCGTGAGGCTGGCAATACCCACCAAAGTGACAAAATGAGTCCCTATTGGTTACGCTCTAGCATAATAAAGGCCGATCAGAAGTTCACACGCCCAGTCAAGAGCGAGGTCGTCTCTTCCTCCAGCGTCTTCAACTAATGAGGGTTTGAAGCTATTCCGTGGATCTACTTTCGGGGCAAGGATTTAAGAGGCATTTTAGGAGAAATCGAATTGATGTAGCAGGGGATGTGCGTGAAAGTGGGAGACCGCTTTGAGATCAAGGTTTACCAAGTCAGGTGACCTCTCACGTGAGCTGCGATTCTAGTGAAAAGAACTCGACCCCGTTCGCCCCAAGCTTGATGCCTCGAACTATCATTATATTCCTCATGTGTCCTCGCATGAGAACACGCGGATGATATCATCTTTAAAGTACGGTCATACAGTTCTGCCGAGGATCTGAAGCCAATCGTCTAGAAGCTCGCTCCCACGTTCTCTCAAACCTCATGTAGTCGCAACGTTCTTCATCACCCTTCACCAGCGCGCTCTTTCTTCGAAATGATTGCCATTGAGCATCCCTCTGGCGGTAAGAGAGATGCGAGATGCACGATTCATCACCGCAACCGCTCTCGTTGTGTCCGGCGTTGGACTCGCGATGCTTCTCGTGGTTGATATGACCATGTTCTCCTCTACCTACCTTTGGCCATTGCTACTCCTACCGCTCGCCGCATCACAGTCTGCCACTGACTTAAGCTGGAACCCACCCATTTCATCCTGGATCACCAATTTGTCCGACATCATCAATGGAACAGGCACGCACGGTTTCATCTTCAACTCCTCCGAACTACCTAAAGGCACGGAATATGCCCGCACGTATAATTGGTGCAACATGCCCCATGTTAGGCTGGAAGACTATCCGATCGCCCCCCTCGAGTATGAACTTGACTACGTTGAGGTGGTAAGGCAGCCCTAGTCCCAAGTATAAGTGTAAAGAATCCTTGAATAACCAAACATGTCGTCTTTTAGATCCACCGTCACCACAAACGCACTCCCTATGAGTCGAACCTGTTCCCCGAAGAAGTACCACCTTGGTCCTGCACCGATACCGCCTTCTCATACGCCTCCAAACCCACAGGCCCACAAGCCCACCATCCAGCGGATACATCGTTGAAGACCGCCTACCACCACTCCTCCAATCCCTTCATAACCCCAGAAACCACCAATTGGACGTGCCAATTCCCGCAAATCACGCATGGAGGTCTCGAAGATTCCTATCAGCACGGCCGCGACCTCTACTCCGTATACCACGACAAGCATTCTTTCCTCCCCGACTTAAATGACCAGCACGTCCAGTTCCGCGTTACAAACAATCGGATAACTAGCCAAGTAGCCGGAATGGTTATCGCAGGAATGTACGGTTCCGACTCAATGAAAGACCTCAGTGACTCTCCCATAGTACCGCTTCACGTTCAGCCTTACCAAATTGACAGCCTAGAGCCTGCCTACTCGTGCCCTGCCGCCGTAGGCCTCTATTCCGCCTACGCGGTCGGTAGCAATAACACAGCTTGGCTCTCCCACCTCTCGGCTGCGAAGCCGTTCTTTACAACTCTCGACGCCGCCTCGAAAATTGAAGCGAACAACACCGATTGGCATGTTTCATTCGACCACTACTTCGACAACCTCTCCGCGCGCCAATGCCACGGCCTCCCCCTACCCCCCGGAATTTCCCAAAAAACAGCGAATGCAGTATACCGCCTTGGGCAACACGAATACAGCCTCATCTATCGCGCGCTTGAACCTAGCTTGAGATTCTCGACCGGCAGTTACGGCGTCTGGCTCGCGGAGTTGGCGGATAATATTGAGAAGCGGTGGCACGGAAAGAGCAAAGTGAGGTTCAGACATAACGTGGGGCATGATGGGTCGATTAGTAGGCTGTTGTCATTTCTGCAGGTTGAAACTATGGTTTGGCCTGGGATGGGCGCCGAACTGGTGTTTGAGGTTTACAAATTAGGGAGTAAGGAGAGCGAGGACGTAAGGAACGGGGGTGACGGGAAGAGGTGGGTGAGGGTTCTATGGGGCGGCCAAGTGCTGGTTAGCTCAAATCCAGTCCTGGGGAAGATGCACCTGATGGAAGCGGAGGTGTTTTTGGATTACATCTACGCTATCACAGGAAAAAAGGCGGAGAAGGTGAAGGACTTCTGCAATTCTACGTAACCTCATAGGTCTATCTTGGTAAGAAAGAGTGGAATTACCGTACAAATACGCACTCAATACGGATCGTACATACTACATTAACGCCCCTCCCTCACCAAAATTTCCGCCGCCCGCTCCGCAACCGCATAAATTGTGCTCGTCAAATGCCCCGTTACTTGCCCTGGAAACACACTCGCATCCACCACCCTCACATTCCGTGTCCCATACACTCTCAACTCGCTATCCACCACCCCGCCCAGCTCCCGACTCATCATTGCCGCCGTGCCCACCGGGTGGTAGTTCGGGCCAAACGTCGACTTCAAAAACTCAATATACACCTCATCCGGCGCATCTGTCGGCACTGTAGTGGTGTTCGGCACCAACTCGGGCCCAACAAGCGCCGCGAGAGGCGCCACGGTGTACGATTTCCGGATGTACCGCGCGATGGCCGTTTGCGCGAGCTCGTCGAACTCGAACTGGAAGAAGTTGGGTTGGATGGCTGGATACGCTGTCGGGTCTTTTGACTGCGTGTGCACGCTTCCCCGCGAGAAAGGCAGAAGGCTCCAGAAAGGGGTGGCGAGTTCGGGGGCGCCGGCGATGGGGACCGAGAGGATCTCAGCGAGGGGGGTGGAGGTGTGGAAGATTACGTCGGCTTGGAGGGAGAAGATGGTTTCGAGGGCGGAGGCGTTGAGGGCATGGTTAGAGTTAGAGGCGACGGCCGCGGCATAGGAAGGGATGGAGCACCGGAGGTTGGCTTCAATGGTGCTGGTTGAGGAGCCGAAGAGATCGGCGGCTGTGGCGTGGGAGACGTAGGGGGGGTAGCCGGTTGTGTTTAGCGAGAGGCTCGTGGCGACGCCATTGTTGGGTTGATCTTGAAGGTTTTCGCCGACGGAGGGGAGAGCGATGCGGAGGGGGATGGAGTATTTGGTGAGAATGCTATCGAGACGAGAGGTTAGGTTTGGTGTGGAAGCAAGGAATTGAGCAATTGCTCCAGAGCATGTGATGTGTGAGAAGAAAGCTAAGGCAACTAGGAAAGCTGAATTAGATGCAACGAATGGAAATTGCACTTACTCAGGGTTTCCAATGCCTGAGTGTTCCAAGAAGACTGGAGTTCGCAGAGATCCAGCTGATATAATTACCTCGCGAGTAGCAGAGATGTTAGAGATAAGTCCTCCTACCGATGTAACCTCAACTCCCGTTGCAGTATACTTATAATAATCGCCATCCCATATCAGCTTGTTAGCCACCGTGTTTAGATATAAGTGAAGGTTTGGTCGTTTAGCTGCGAAAGGATAGTAGTACGCTCGCGCTGCGTCCTGTCGAATGCCCTTCCCGCCAACACTATTGTTCAACGTAAATGGCCACACTGAGAAGCCGCGTAACTTGCCACCACTTGTGTCCGCATTGTACGGTAATCCGACGTTCTGCCAAGTCTCGTTCAAGATGGAGTGGGCATCCCCTCCCATCAAGGTCGTGCTCCAACCCACTGTGACTGGACCTCGGAATCCGTGATAATCTTCTATGTAAGCTGCTCCATCGTCCTGTCGCTGAGCGTCTGGAACTTGGAAGTGCTCGCTCTTTTTGTAGTACGGCCTACATTCATCAGACCAGGTGATTTGAAGGGTTTAAGACCTGAACTCACCACAAAGAATCCCAATTCCAGCCGTCGTTTCCCAACTTTTCCCAGGTGTCAATATGGGCTGCTTCAGGACGTATATACGTCATCCCTAAACCCGAGTCAACGCGTTGATCGAGCATGTATGGCTGAGACTAAAGTACTTACCATTGATAGTACTGGTTCCTCCCAATGCTTTTCCAGAATCATATATCAAGGTACGATTCAACGCATATGTCTGAGGTTCGGCTGGATATGCCCAATCAATTGAAGTTCCTAACGATAGTCCAAAGGCTGTCGTGTCCGTGACATTGGGATTGTTGAAGACCGAGTCTCCGGCCTCAATGACTGCGACTGTGACGTGTGGATTCTCCGTCAATCTATTCGCAACTACGAGTCCAGCTGTCCCTCCGCCTACTACAATGTAGTCATAGCGAGGATTACTAGAATAACCGCAATGGATAAAGACCGCCTGAAGCAGCAGAATGAGCAGAGAGAGCATGGTAGAAATGGATAAGTCTTACGTAGGTGAAAGGTTGCTGGCGATGACGAAATGGGCATTTTATGGGCGTAACCTACGGCCGGAGCCTCGTATGATCGCGTGTTTCCCCATCATGGACTAGAGCATGCACAGTCTGGTCATTCTCGGGGGGTACTGCGGAGATTCTGGGGCGGGCGGTGAGACCGTGCCTGGGAATATAGTGATCAGCGGCTTATGCGCTGCACAAATGTATTCTTCGGTGTTAGCGGCTGTGCTTCCTAAGCACCGTTACGTAGCGTGTTCATCGTTCATACGAAGTAGCATTATAATGTAGTAACCGTTGCTGCTTGTTGAGTGCCTATGTGTTCGCGAAGGGGCGTTCGAGGTGCTGGAGAAAAAGGGCCTTTTCTCCAGAAGATTAGTCCGGTTTCGTCAGAGGTGTGGAAGCTTGCTAATGGGAATGATTGTGGGTCGGCCGAAAGACCAACAACATTCCATCTCCTCCTCCTCTACATCAATGAAGAAGCGTCTGCACGATGCCGGCCTCTCGGGTATGTGTCTTCTTCTTCGTAGGCGAGTACCTAGGTATGTCTATAGCACTACCATGCTAAGCGCCACTAGATCCTTCGAACATACGTACTTACTGAATCGACGCGGAATCCATCCCTGCCTTTAATCTTGTATCGACAAACGAGCGCTTTTTGCCGTCTAACAGTATTTCTTCTTCTTCCGCCGACGATTTTGCATCAAACTCGGCGTTGTGGGCTTTCTAAGTCGTTGCTTATGCTTGCAAAGTACCAAAGTAAGTTACCAGTTTGTACGTACAAAATCGCAGTGCAAGCAGCCGCCTCAACTTGGAGTTGCTGGCATAGTAGCTGCCTACATGCCTAGCCAGTTACAACTTCTACAGAGAGGGGTTGGGGTACGGTGGCCTACCGTGCCTACCGTGCCTACTGCTGTCTCTAATTAGTGCTTCTGCCTACGCGTACAGTCACTTCCTACGTAGTATATAGTTTGGCCTTCGGGCCCCCGAAATAAGACAGAGTTCACGTCAATTTGCAACCTGAGTCCTCAGCAAGCATGAAAGACGCATCTTAAGATGTCTAAAAATGCTTAGGTACTTCTACAATTGTGTCCTGTCTCCTACTTTGAGCTCTTCTTCTACGGCCAGAATGACGATACCTAAACAGGCAGCCGGGTCAAAGGGAAGGCTTTTTCTCAGGGAATCTCACACTCATGTCTGCCAGCAATGATGTATGTAAGCGATCTGCGTGCCATACACATCACGCCAAGGTGCAGCGGCGCACATTGACCATAGTCAATTGAACACGCTGCAGGGGTAAGTCGGGGCACGTCTGCCAACCTTCCGTTGATCATCACGACATTTTCGCCCGAATCTCCGCATATTCAGAGAAGACATGAGTGACCAGATAATTTAGCTCTGCCCAACCCTTAGGGCAAATAACTCACGCTCCCTGCTTATCCGTAGGTGGTGACCGGTGCTTATGTCAGTTCGCTGGAAGAGGTCCTGCACATCATTGGACCTAGCTCCTCGCTCAAGCACTTAGTTCGTTGCCTCTACTTCTTTCTACATGGGATGGGTATATTACACGGAAGACGACTTTGAGGAGGAAGACTCTGAGGTCTTCGATGAAGAGCTTAAATATGCCATCTCCAATCCTCCACGTCTGGGCTGAGACAGTTCTACATAATCTCCCATTGAGCTGCTCGAGCAATAGTTGCTCCAACTCCTGGAAGAGGCTGTCAGCGTCATCTGTAGCCTGCTCGGCAAGCCCGGCGCCGACGATCATATTTATCTTTGTAGCTTTTGGACACCAAAGTGAGGCCGATACGTTGACGTCGGCTGCCTTACCAACGCGGAATTCGAGCCAACGGGCACCCCTTTGAGCGATAGTCCCGCTTGGAATGAAGGCGATTTGCCTAAGAAGAACGACTAGGAGGCGCGTCTCTGCACTGGTTGCCTTTCTTGCACATCTAGGCGAACTTCTGCGAAGGCTATCTTACTGGAAACGAGCTTGAGATGCTGTTTGGCGGGCTGGTAGTGGGCGTCATCTCCTCCGGTGGTTAGGATATAGGGGAGCTGATTGAAACCCGGCCGCCCCTCATCATCAAGCTAAAGGTACCGACATACACAGCTTAATTCTCACGGCGTCAACAAACGAAAAGTAGGCGCAGCTTGTCCAAGGATTGAGACATTTACCATAGCTCGATTTCCAGAGCTACACCTTAACCATGATGGCCGATAACATTCGTCAATAAGCATTAAGGGCTTCGCCGTCTTGGTAAATTATACACCAGTTAAATTTCCGTGGTATAAGTCTCTAGATACCTTTCAATAGCTTCCACTGTTAATCACAACGACACCTTAAGCATTCGATTGTTTCAGAGTCTTCAACACCTTCAGAAAAAATCACCACTGGGAAGAGCCTTTTAGCTGACAACCGGGCCGCAAATCATGCCAAACAGGCTCCGCTCTTCGTGGCCTTGGTGGTCGCTTTCTGCCTCATTCCAAGTACCGTTTGAGCCAGTGCAAGTTGAAGGAGGGGACGTTGTTATTTGCCTATCACAGTATGCTTCTGATATGCTTATACTATCAAGTTCCGTTCTCCGCCAGATCCCTTGGTTCGATGCTCGCCTGAGCTCGCGCTGGAACCCGGATGACGTGGAAGATTACGCGAACTTAAACACTGGTGAACAGATGGAGATATGGCTATATGACCTGAATTATTGCGCAGAAGGCAATTGCTGGTTGCTTGATTACGTATGTAACGACATTGTTTTACTGAGAATAGAACGCCGGTATTGACAATCGCGTTAGGACATCGACTCAGGTTGAAATTGATGTGAACTCTGATTTCTATGGGTGTCTAGCTCGTTGTTTATATACTAGGGGAAGGAGGGGGGCCAGCCCCGGGGGCATAACGTGGTATCTCTTCCTGACGCGTTACTTAATTCATCCTGTTTCCTGATACAGTACTGATACCGTGCTGCAGCACTGCTGTTGCACTACCTGTTACTTCCTCCTGTATCAGCATGCTATCCTGATACGTTACTGCATATGAGTTGCTGACCCTAGGTTGTAGTGCTGCAACCCGAGTCATCGGCTCACCATTCTGGCCCCCGAAAAACAGAAAGGCTGATCGCACGATCAGTTCCAGCGATGGAATGTCCTACCTTTCATATTATGCTTCTAGCTTCACTGACTCTCGTTGGGGGCACGCGGACCATCTCGTCGATGCAACATGGTACTACTACAATGCCATCCGCGACCATAAGGTCCTGTTTGCCCTCATGTATGGCAAGGATATCGATCTAAATAGCATTCCAACTGGCGAGGCTTGCATATGTCTAGCCAACCTTACGGCGTACTCGGAGTATTACTGTTGCTTCCCAGAAATGGCTGCCGCGTATCAACTGCCTTGCGTTCCCTTTCTGGTTTATGGAAAGACATCTCGAAGCGCCAAAGGTTCTACCTCTCCCTCGCTATCAAGCTCAGGGTCTTCGACATCTACGCCGAGGCGATACGACACATTGTGGGGTCGGACAGCCGAAGGAAATTCCATCTCCCGTAGTTGAGGCCTTTGGAGACGTTCGAGCGTTCAAGGGATTGATATTCGAAAAGCGAGAAAGCCTCTACGATCTTACCAGTCATCTTCACATTCAGCTTCGAGACATCGGCATAACTAAAAAGCAAGGGAGACTTTCGAGATGGAAGGCCGTTCCAACTGTGATCCCATCCCTTGGACCGTGGACCGAGGATCCAGACTTCGACCTGAAGTGGATGGACACTGAGCACATCGCCAGATCTGTTTATACCGATTGGCTGTCTCACAACTTCAGTCAGAGCAGGCTGAGTTATCAGAATGTGTCAGAGCATCACGAGTAAGTCTCATCTTTCTCATTCTACCTGTGCACTCTTGCTTGAATTCGTACTGCTAATTTACCGGCAGGTCTTTTAAGTCGACATTCTCTCGCATAGTCGAGGCAGACAACCAAAAGGACACGAAAATGTTTACTGTGAGGATCAAGTTCGAGGATTTCGAAAGGGTTTCCCCAGAAGAAGGTCTAAATTGGGCGCACGGGCTTCCAATGCCGACTCCAGTAGAGATGCTGCACGAGAAGCTCTTGCTCTGTCTGTAAGAAGCTCGGGAACAGATCGAGCCGACGATCGATCATGATTTCCCTCCAAAAGCTCGCTACGACGAGATCCCTTACTTCACGTATGCTTATGTCGACGAGGAAGATACTCCATGGTATGGAAAGGCTCCTTGGAAGGAGGTCACGTGGCCTAAAAAGGGTGACTGGGAACCGGAGTCGCTGGAGTGGCTGGAAGCCATGAGGATAGAGCCAGTGTTCTCTGCAGATTATCTCTCCGGATGCGAGCTCGATCTGATGTTTGGGTTGGAGGATGACTAGCTTACTGTGTTTGATCCTTTAAGCTGTGCTAGCTGCACCTGGACCGTGAGAATGCCTCGGATTGAAGTTATTCGTTTAGTTCGTAGAGTCAGATTACTCTATGGATAGATCCCCAGTTCCTTTAAAGTATCATGTATGAGCGTCCTAAGACTTCGTACACGCATGAATCGCCTCTAGAAGTCGATGCTTAGGTGAACAGGAAGCAAGATAGTCAGTATAGATAAGAGGGTACTCCAAATGCTGCTAGGCTCATCCACAGCCTAATTTTCATGGCGTCAACACCCGAAGAGTAGGTGGTGCGGCTCGCCGAAGGGATTGAAACCTTCACCGCAAGACAGTTCTCACTTTTCAGAGCTATTTGTTGGTCAAGGTAGCCGATAATATTCGGCAGTTGGCGTTTGAGTGCGCTGTTCTCTTGGTGAATTATAATTTTATTGAACTTTTGGGGTATAAATATCTACCCCCCTATCTTCATTCTTTTAGGTCCTTCAACTTCGCAACAGGACACCACCACTCCATCAAGAAGGTCCTTTCATTGATCACTCTAGTCGACAGAGCCTTTCCGCGCACAGTTGCCTTGCCGTGCCTCGTTCTCCGGTGGGGTCTTTCAGGTTCACGGATCATTCACGTGATTCAATTACTGTCGAATCTCCTTAATCACTCTTTTTTAACCAGCGGTCCTTCCATCATCAACAACACCGCATCATCAACAACACCACATCACCAACAACACCAAAGCCTTTCATCCTTCACTGCTACCTTACACTAGACCGAAAGCCACATTCTTGCTTTAAAGATCATGGACATAATCGCCCTTGTTCAAGGCTTTAAACTTGATGTCGCTAAGTTTGACAGATTTCTCGTCGCGGGCGGTCTTCCACACTCGGGTTGTAACAGCTACAACCTAGGATCAACAACTCATACGGTTCACGGTCACCTACGTACAGACTTGGAGTTGCTGGCATAGTAGCTGCCTACATGCCTAGCCAGTTACAACTTCTACAGAGAGGGGTTGGGGTACGGTGGCCTACCCTGCCTAATGCTGCCTACTGCTGCCTCCAATTAGTGCTTCTGCCTATGCATACAGTCACTTCCTACGTAGTATATAGTTTGGCCTTCGGGCCCCCGAAATAAGACAGAGTTCACATCAATTTTCAACCTGAGTTCCACCGAATGAGGGATTACAACCCGTCCCTTTCGAAGGGGCAGTCATCGCGGAGCTCTTCAAAACCAAAGGCGTCGATTGCGAAATCCGAGTTTTCGTACCGCAGAGGAAAGGATTCAGCCGGTCGAAGTATGTCTTTATTTGTTGCGACTGGACCTATGTACACAACACAAGAGTGATTGAGGGCTTGCTGCAAATGCCCGTGCCGGCCACTTTCGAAGCTATGCGCCAGTCGCTTCAGGCTGAGTCGGGCATCTCAAGGTATATTGTGTACAACGAGAATACCCAATCGTTAACTAGGGAAGAGTTCATGGCGCGCAATAAGGTAAGTTGACCCTCCCTGCTTTAATAAATCTAGCTAATTCAAATTAGCCGCCAATACCCTGCGGCGTGTGCGATTCCGCTTTTGTTGACTGGTACGAACGCGTGGGGCATCGTCGTGATAAGCATGGAATATTCGAGGACCCAAACGCACTACCTAATTGCTAGATTATGGGGAAATAGACGCCGCCAAGTAGTGTTAGTGGAATGGGGTTGTGCAAGTTAGTTGAGGCGATGGAACCTACGGCGATACTCGGGCCCCGTCGGGTTGTTTCATAATGATCACAGATCAGCCAGTACAGAGTACGGGCCTACACCCGAAACCGAAACACACCCTCAAACAAAATGGAAATCAACACCAAAAGCTAGATTCTAGCCCCCGGTAAAAGCGCCCAACCCTACTAAATATTCGCCTTTTTCAAGATAGAATACTAAGTTAATATAAGGGGAGGGATATTAGCACACCCCCTAATCACTACGCACGCCCCCTTTTGACTCCACGCACACCCTGTCGCTTCACCGCCTTCTAATTAGCTCGGACTACCGCTCCAGAGCCTCCGATTTGCTCGCTTAACTTGCTCACTAATTCTAAATGCTCTCTCCAAATGCGGCCATGTCACAGCCTATCTGATTTGTGCAGCTGTATATACAGCCGTACGTGAGCTCGTACGTGAGGCTATACAAATCGACATGGATATACAGCCTTTCTGTTTTACAGCGCATCCTTTCCGGTTTGTGCAGCCGTATATACGGCCGTATTTGAGCTTATATATAAGGCTATACGTGAGGCTATACGTGAGGCTATACAGCTGCACGAATTGGAAAGGATACGCTGTAAAACGGAGAGGCTATATAGCCGTGCCGATTTGTATAGCCTTATGTATAGCCTCACGTACGAGCTCACGTACGCCAAAGTGGATGCACGTGAGAATAGAGCTCCGGACGAAGTTCCGAGCCGCTCCAGCCAATCAAAAGATCAGACGAGAAGGGGGTGTGCTTTTACCGAAATGGGGGGTGTGAAACTACCGAAAAGGGGGTGTGCAGGTACTAGCGCCCAAATAAAATTTTAGAGATTTGGACTCCAGGGCCGGATAATTATATATTATCTATTGTCTATTACCTGTCATCCAACAAACCTTTACACTATTACGAGACGAGATTTATGCATGCAATCCGTGTAGATTTAAGTCTTCCTTTTCACTCCTTTGTGTATATATAGAGCCTTATGCTGCTCCTACAATTGACAGAGTTAACCTACACTTTCAACCTGAGTCCAACCCCTGCCCCAAGCAGACGGTCGTGCCGACTCCTCTTAGCTACAGATCGTCATTACGGCGACCTGGGAGTGGGTTATTTTCGCAATTAAGTTCTCGATCCTCGACCTCTACGCTAAGATTTTCTGCGTCCCATGGTTTGTCAAGGCCTGCTATGTCTATATGGCATTTCAGGTCGCCTCGTCCTCTCCCTGTTCTTAACTACCATGCTGCTTTGCCCACCGTTAAGGTTCCAGTGGGACAAGACGATTCTGGGAGGCGTCTGTAGAGACCTGATTACCAGCTACTATACTATCCACATCATCATCTTGCTCACTGATGTCATTGCGGCCGTTCTTCCTACTCTCGGTCTTTGGAAACTCAACATGAACACTTGGAAAATTATTGGTATCTCTTTCATGTTATGCTCGGAGCTCTGTACGTCTTGACCAATTTCTCAGTCTAATAGCTACGCTAATTTCATGTCCCCTTTGCAGCATATCGCTTTCAACATCATCCGCCTTGCGTGGAGTGATAAAGTTAAGAGCCCAGACAGCAACAACGATCACGCGGTTCTCTTCTGTTTCAACGAGCTCGCGATCCAGCTCAGTCTTATCCTTGCCTCGGTTCCCATCATGCAACCGATCCTGCGCAAGTACTTTGGTTCGGCACATCCCGCACGGCACTATCACACAATAAATATGGTGGTAGTGCAAATCTGATTCAGCTTGGGACTATTGGTTCGCCCCGTGTTCGCAAGTACAACAACACCCTGCAGACAGAAAGTGCATTCGATTTGGATGAGAAGGATGAAGGGAAGAGCGCAAGCCACGATTCCACCTGCTTCAAGGGTGTGCCAGCGTCAGGCAGGGATCGCCGGCATTGCCCGAACAAGTAATCGTCGAGACTATGGCAGCAGCTTCCTTTTAGCGGCATGTATTTCAATTGCTACCTTCGTGTGAACCTGGTCATTGGTTGGCAGTAGGCGTCATTTACCTAGGCTGCGGTAAGAAAATAACTAAAATGCCACTGGCCGCATAGAGTTCAAGTGTGGCCATCTCCAAGAAACGACTCTAGATACTACCGCACTTCCGGATGTGTTAGGGTTTTGGCCCTCTTTCTTATCCAAAAACAACCGGCCTAACACAAGCGACCTTCAGTACGTTGGCCGCCTGTTGAACACAGGCAGGTCGCTGCCTGGAGAAAGCGGCAATGCAACGGTGGCAGCTGAGCGCGAGGCAGTCTCTGGGAGGGCGTTGAATGGGCCACCATTTTAACAGAAAACGCTCGCTAGTGCGGGTGAGTAGTGAAATAGCGAGGAAATGTCGTGTCTGGGTGGAAGCCAGTAGCGTTGGCTGGGTTAAAAGCGCGCGTAGTGGTAAACTATGTTGAGTGAATGACTAATTGAAGCTTCAAGCTGACTGAATGCGCCAGCTTTTCTGCGGGGAGGCTGTGTCTAAGGCTCTGCCTTGTGCTTCTCATTCACTAGAATCTGCTCTCTCTTTAACCATCGTCTCGACGAAGACTTTCTTCATTTTCTTACCTCCAGGCCATAGCGCTGAACGCCCGCGCACTATTTGGTCAGGCATGGCTGATCCGTTCGCAATCATTGGACTTGTCGATACAGCCTTTGGACTCGGGTGCAAAATCTACGCCTTCTTCTCCGCTCTTAAAGATGCGCCGAAGGAAATTCACCGCTTTCATGAAGAGCTAGGGGTTTTCAACGCAGTGCTGGAAGACGTGAAACAATATGTCAAGGTCTTCACAGGGTCCAGCTTCGCGACGGAAGATGGGATCAAGCTGAAAATTATCGAGATGACCTTGAAACAATGCGAGGCTGAGTTCCGGGATATTTATGATGCAATCAAAACCCAGGACGAGAAGCTGTCGCTTTCAACTCTGAAAAAGCTCGGAAGCTCTTCATCTTGGGTTTTTGATTGTGATGAACGAGAAAGGTCGACAAAGCGCCTCAGCCGGGCTCGTGAAAGTCTTACCATCGCTTTCTCCAGTGTGAATAGGTATGTTCTCGTGAAAGAAGGAATCGTGAACATCACTAAATGTTCACTAGTCGGCAGAATATTGTTGTTCGAGAAGAGATCAAGTTTGTCCGAAACGACATATCCGATATTAAAGACTCGCAGCAAGATCTATATTTCCTAGTACATTCTATGTTTGTAGCAGGTCAAGAGAGAGTGCAAAGTCTGGATTCGAGAGCAGAACGAGAGAGGACCAAGAGTCAGACTCGGCTTGATGACTTGGCTGACAGGTTCGAGCCTGATCTGTCCGCTCTACGCCGTACGCCTGCTACTCCAAATAGAGAGGCTATGGATGATCGTTCTAGTACTCAGGTTAAAATTGATGTGAACTCTGCTTGTATTGTAGTGG